ACAGATAATTTATTTTTTTGATGTGCACTGTGTTTTGCCTGCTTGTATGTCTGTGTAAGGGTACCATATTCCCTGGAACTGGAGTTACAGACATCTGTGAGCAGCCATGTGGGTGCTGGGAATTGAACCCGGGTCCTGTAGAAGAACAATCAGTGCTCTTACTCACTGAGCCATCCTCCCAGCTCTGGATGCAGATAACTTCGAGTGATAGGTGCTATGACATAAAGTGACCATTGGGCATCTGTTTAGGCGGGTGGTGGTGGTGGCACACACCTTTATTCACATCACTTGGGAGGCAGAGGCAGGTGGATCTCTGAGTTTGAGACCAGCCTGGTCTACAGAGAGAGTTCCAGGACAGCCAGGACTACCCAGAGACACCCTGTTCAAAAAACCCAAACAAACAAAAGAGGACATGGCCACTTGTCTCAGGCTAGTTTAGGTGCATGGCCTCCCTTGGAGCAACACTGTAGAGACATGAGAGATGGCAAAGGCAGGTGGAGGAGGTCCGGGGGGAGCAGCCGCACATAGGGGTTAAGTTTGGAAGATGAGGACCAAGAAGAGCACTGGGTGTGACAGGGGTCGAGAAGCAAGCAGAATCCAGCTTAGAGGCTTTTACGTGCTTTTTAGTCCCAGGGCCGTGGAAAGCCATCAGAGGAGCCGGAGAGACGGCTCAGTGGGAAAAGGTGCTTGCTGTCAAGCCTGACGACACGAGTTCAATTCCTTATAGGGAAGCCACATGGTGGAAAGAAAGAAGCTGTCCTCTGACCTCTTCAGGCACACATCCACACAATAAATAAATGTTAAGATGCAAAACAAAACTAAAAACATCAACAAAAAGGGAGAAGCTAATAGAATAGCAGGATTCTATTTTGGCAAGAGGACTCTAGGTGCCAGTAGAGAACATACAGTAGGGGGCGACAGAGAGCCTGGAAGTAGTTGCCCCATTGATATGGTACTTTGGATCCGCGTAACCTCTCATCCTGTTTTCCGACCTGTAAAGTAGCAGTAGTAACTGCCTATCTGTCGGGGTCCTTACGAGGAATGATATGGAGCCGCACTTGTAAAGTCCTTAGCCCTGGATGCAGTCCACGGTAGAAAGTAGTCACATTGTGTGATTGGCTCTGGCTCCTTTCGGTTACTGGATAAACCTGAAAGTTACATAAAAACATTTGGTATTTTAAAATCCTTTTCTTAAATTGTCACCCCGTGAAAGGAAAAAGACAGAGAAACACTGGGGCCACAGGACCCCAATTGCTCTAAGGCTGCAAACTTAGGGTGTACCTGGGTTGGAAAGAGTGAAATTGGGGAGGTGCAAGGCAGGATAGAGAGGTACCCTGCTGAACTTTGGTGGCTTATGCTTCCTTTGTCTTCTAAGGAGGGCTCTGTCAACTGTAGGGTTGGGGTACTGAGGTCCCCAGGTGGTGCCAGCTCCAATAGTACCCCTGGTGCGGGGCCCATCTCCTCACCCTGGCTGTCGGTCTCTCCCTCCTCCCCAGCTTTAACCTCAGCATCCATCTCATAAGCTCTTGGGCTTCATCTCATCCCTCATGTACTTCAGTGCTTCATCCCGGGTTGCTGAACGTTTTGGGAAGAGTTAAGTGGTGTGACCTTGTTAGGGGAAGTGTGTCACCAGGGGTGATCTTTGAGGTCTAAAGAGCCCACCGGTCTTGCTCTCCTCTCTGCGTCCCATTTGTGGAGCAGATGTAAGCTCTCAGCTACGGCGCCAGCACCATGCCTGTCTGCTGCCGTGCTCCCTGCCATGTTGGTCATGGACGCGCCCTGTGAAGCTGTAAGCAAGCCCTCAATTAAATGCTTTCTTTTTTCTTTTCTTAAACAAGTTGCTTTGTCATGGTGTCTCTTTACAGCAAGGGAAAAGTGACCAAGACACAACCCAACTCTTGCCCGGCTGCTGTTGAGAATGAACAGTCTGCACACAGCTCTCAGTCCAGGCCTGCATGGAACTAAGAACTGATGACTCATCATTTCGGCGTGGAGAAACCCTTGAGATGGGCGTTAATCCAGCTTTTCAGATTAGCCCAGAATTGTCAGATGACAGGCTTCAGGCTTCTCTCCCACCCTTCGGGGTACCTCTCGCTAATCCTTAGCGTTCACTGGCTCAGCATGGCCAGTTCCTTGTAGTGCTTCAGGGCTCTCACAACCTGAAAAATACTTCCCTTTTTTCTGGTTTTCCCCAAAGGAGACTTGTTTCTCCATCTCTTCTTGGTCACCTCCAGCTCCCAGTTGGCATCCCTGGTCCGCATTTTCTGTCTCCCCTCCCCGGTCAGGGATTCCAGTTGTGTTTGTTGTTGTTGCTGCTGGGCAAAGATGCCTGTGAAAAGAACTTAAAAGAGGAAGAAGCATTTGCTTTGGTTTAGGGTTTCAGAGGGCTCAAACCATGCTCGACTGGCTTCATCACTTTGGGCCTGTGGCGAGGCAGAAGTTATGGCAGTATAGGGTTGTGGTAGAAAAGGCTACTTACCGCACGGCAGCCAGGGAACTGAGATGGGGAGGAAGAATCCTAGGAGAAGACATACCCTTAGAGGCACGCTCTTGACTGGCCTTGTGGCTTTTGGGCTACTTAGTCCCCCTGATCCAATTTCTACTCCGAGGCCAGGCCGTTGAACGCTTTTGATACGTGGCTTCACCATTGTTTTGACTGCACCTACCCCCTTCCTGGGGACTGGGCCCAAGGTTCTGGGCATGCCAGGGACGCTCGCTACCACCAAGTGACATCTCCAGTGGAGCCACAACTCTTCACTGACCCCACAGTGTGGTCACACCATCTTTAAATGTATTGATCACACAGTGATATCAGTGAGGCATCTGTTTTTTGTTTTTGTTTTTGTTTTTTTTTTTCTGGTATTTCAAGACAGGGTTTCTCTGCGTAGCCCCAGCTGTCCTAGAACTTGCTCTGTAGACCAGGCTGACCTCAGATTCACGGAGATCCTCCTGCCTCTGCCTCCTGAGTGCCGGGATTAAAGGTGTGTGCTACCACTGCCTGGCTGCAGTAAGGCATCTTAGCGCACATGTCTTCCTGGTATGTGTTCTCTCCTTCAGGATGGTCCCAGGAATCCTTGCCTCCTGGGATTCACACTGCGTTAGTTCTTTTCCACAACACTCAGGGCTGATCTGAGAGACCGGTAGGACGGTGTGGAGATGGTAGGCTGTTACTCTGAGGCTAGGCCAGTAGTTACGCCATGAGGACATTCAAGCAGCCTTGTGGAGAGGCTCCACGGCGAGGGACAGGACTCTAAGCTTAAACTAGCAGTAATTTTCCTGTCATCTGAGTGAGTCCTGTTGTCAGTTGACTCATCAGCCTCAGTCCAGTCTTTCAGAGAACACGACCCCTGACTGAGGTCCTGGTGTACCCTCAGGAGAGATCCTGAGTCACAACCAATAGGCTAAGCCACACTTTGATCTTAGCAATGAGACTGTGTTTATTGTTAAAGCTGCTAGGTTGTGGGGTAATTATTTTATAGTATGTGACTAATGTCCAGTAGTACGGGGCTATCATACATACATCCTAAAATGTATCTGTCTAAATAGATATCTATTGGAAAGGGATTAAAAAAAACTACACACACACATCCACACACACCCACAATCCACACCTACACTTGTCATACACATGTACACACAAACACAAAAACACACACGACATAGTCTATCTATGAGCTCAGGCCTGGCTCTAGGATACAAACCAGATTTTCAAATGCCTTCTTCCAGCACAATCTGCAGATAGAAAGATGTAAAAGCCCCAAGTTTACAGTCTCTTGCAGTTTTACAAGCCAATAAGGTGTCACCAGCATCTGGAGACCAAGAAGCTAGGTGTGTCGTCACCCCTACCCCTTGCTCCCTCACCCTAACACCCCACCTTGCTCTCTGTCAGTTACTTCTGTGAGCGTAACTACAATTCGGACCGGATCCATGTCTGTGTGTTTGCCAGAACAAACTAGATCATAAGTGGTAAAATCAGAGAGTGTTAAATTAATGGCCCAATTTTCACCCAAATCACTGGCAGCAAGCCTAGTCCATGTAAACATGAGGATTTTTAGGACAGAGACAAACAAGGACACAGAGCAGCTTGCATTTATGTAAGCGATGCTTTCCTGAATAGCTCACAGGATAGAGATGGCACACTGGGAGCCCAGTTCTCAGTCTAATACAGGGCCTGTCCATATTAACACCGCTCCCTTTCCAAGATATCCGTTGAGTTCTGATAGGCATCTCTGAAGTCCCCAGGACTGTAAGGGGCCACATTTAGGTATCTCTAGGGACTTGGGGACCTAGTGTGTGGACCAGCTGGAAACCCCGTTCTGGGTAAAGTGTTGGAGGCAGCATACAGGCCCCAAGCTGGGCTGCTCACATTTTAGTCTGCTCTCTTCTGTGCAGTATGGCAGGAAGGCAGCTTGCTTTCCAGGGCCTCAGCCTTCTTGCCTGAAGAATGGGTTGTTCTCTGGGGCTGAGAAAGTTTGAAGCCGTGGGGCAGAATTAGGGGTTTCTTGGCCCCAATTTTTGGGGAGTACCTGCTTCTGTCACCTCCATGCTACTTGGAGGACCACATGAGAGTGAGCGGGTCAGGTTAGGACTGGGGAGCCAGGTGCCAAGCCCCCAAGAATCTACAGCCTGCAATTATAATGCTAAGGTCACAGGGCAGGATTGGGCAAGAGCAGAGGATCAGTTGGTGCCTCTGATCCTGGCCAGAGATATTTGGAGATATGGACAATTCTGGGAAATTCAGAACTGAAAGGGGGAGGGCCCTGAGAGGAAACAACAAAGGCTCCCTGGCCTTTTTAACCCTGTCTCCCATAAAAATGTAAAGAGTATTGAAGTGGGTCATAACAAGTGCACGTGCGTGTGTTTCTCTGTGTGTATATGTGGGGCCAGGAGACTCCCCTTCTCTGAAAAATAGAACAGAGGTTACCCAGGCCTTCCTTCCACCCAAACACCTCCCCAGTTCCTAATCTATTTCCACCTCTGTTTAAGGTTCAAAGTCCTGGCATTGGTGATGCCAGGTTCAGCGCGCTCAGACACACAGACAGCTGGACACACAGGACCCTTGGATGGACCCTGTCCTCTCCCGTCCCATTGTTCAGGGCTGTCCACCTGGTTCTTCAGACTTCAGCCCCCTCCTTAACTTGAGTTCTGAGTGGTGTTGAGAGACGGACCTTCAGTAAGTAAAGTGGGGTGAGAGAATGCGGGAGGCCGGCAAGTGAGAGAGTGGGTGGAGGGGTCCTGCACACACACACACACACACACACACACATCTGTGTGTGTGTGTGTAAATAGGAGGGCATAGATTTTTCTTAGGATGTAGCCTTGGCTGGCCTGAAACTAACCATGTATACCAGGCTGGCCTTGAACTCAAATATCCTCCTGAGTACGCTTCCTGAGTGCTGGGATTAAAAACATCTACCACCATGCCCAGCTAGAGGACAGGTTTTTGGATGTCAGGCTTGGGAGCAGATGGCGGGAAGAAGGAAGGTGCTGTTCTCCTGGAGGTCACCCAGTCAGATGTAGATGGGATTGGGCTTCTTCTAGCTCCGGGCCTGTTAGTCCCAGCCTTGGCTCTAATCCTGGCTGTTCTAGGTCCCCCTCTAGTGCTAAGATGACGAAGGATTACCAAGATCTCCAGCACCTGGACAACGAGGAGAATGACCATCACCAACTCCGGAGAGGTGAGGGTGCTCCCCACTGAAGAGTGTTGATGGCTCTGTCCCTTGGATTCAGCTCCTGCTTTCCCTGGTGACCCCTAGCTCTGGCCCATGCACTCAGAAAATAGCGGCTGAGTCACTGAGGGAGTGACTGGGGAGCGGGGTACAGGGCACAGGGCTGGAGTCCTTCTTGATCGCAGTTGCCCAAGCTTCCTCTCCAGGTCACGTACTTCTCAAGACCCCAGGCAGTGGGTGGATCCTACTGAATGAAGGCTGGGAATATGAGTTTGTTGTCAGTCTCTTCTGAAGCTAGGTCCCTTGTCCTCTTCAGTTTTGACGGCATGTATGTGGTGGTTGGGGTGGCCAGGACCAGCTTGGCCTAGGGGCTAGGTTGAGGGTCTCTGCATTTAAACCAAACCCATCTCCCCACTTCTTCGTCCTCTGTTCAGGACTATTGGGTGTAAGCAGAACAAGGTCAGAACTCTTAAGGTATCCCAGCTGGGCAGAATGCAGGAAGGAGCCCTGGGGAGGGGAAGGGGAGAAGACTCCACACTCCAACTGACAGGGCTAAGTGTAATTTTCTCCCTTGGCGGGAGAGATTCATCTCTCCCTGCATGCAGCCCAAACCGCACAGGATTCACCGAGAGAGGGAGAAACCCACCTTTCCCACACTTCGGTGGAACAGAGGACTCCCCAGGTGCACAGTTGATCGTCTGTAATGACACTATCTTGCCACGAGGTGGCAGCAGAGGTTCAGGACCTCGGCAACGCTAGGGCAGGTCAACGCTTTGCACTTACGAGATAACCCCTTTTCTTCCCCATCTTAGTTGTTTCCGGTCCTGCAGAGTTGCCCACTGCCCACATTTCTTAATATATATAGTTTCTCTTAGTTTATTGGAGAGCTTAGTGTGCACTCTTCCTAGGACCACGGGAACTACACGGGGTTGGCCTGGGCTGGTGAATTCCTGACTCCTCTTTCAGGGCCGCCTCCCACTCCACCGCTCCTGCATCGTCTCTGCTCTGGATCCCGCCTCCTGCTGCTCTCCTTGGGCCTCAGCCTTTCGTTGCTGGTGGTTGTCAGTGTGATCGCATCCCAAAGTGGGTGGCCAGGGCTGGGCAGATAAAGGGGGCAACTTGTACGCAGTGGTGGGTGGGCACAGACAATTTATTTTTTCATGCCCGCATCCTCTCTTGCCTAGACTCCCAACTCCGGGGAGACCTGCTGGCTCTAAAGCAGAATTTCAGCAACTTCACTGTGATCTCTGAGGACCAGGTCAAGGTCCTAGGCACTCAGGGTGAGGGGGGAGGGGTCTGGGGCCTGGGGTGGGGCCGAGGGATGGTGCTGCTATCAGAACACTGAACAAGTTTCTCCTCTAGGAGTTAGCGTGGGAAGAAAGATGAAGCTACTGGAGTCACAGCTGGAGAAACAGCAGCAGGATCTGAGTGAAGGTGGGGGGGAGGGGTGAGAGAGAGGGAAAGGGAGGTGAGGGTGAGAGAGAGGGAGGGGGTGAGGGTAAGAGAGGGGGAGAGGTTAGGATAAGGGGGAGAGGTGATGGGTAAGGGGGAGGGGAGGGTGAGAGAGAGGGAGAGAGTGTGGGTGAGGGAGAGTGAGGGGAGAGGTGAGGGAGAAGGGCACGGGGGAGGGGTTGCTGGTCTCTCAGCCCAGATCAAAGCCATGGCCAGAGGGTCTGTGCTTCTGTCCCTTCTGTCCTCTGCCACCCCAGACCACTCCAGCTTGCTGCTGCACGTGAAACAGTTAGTGTCTGACCTGCGCAGCCTGAGCTGTCAGATGGCGGCCCTTCAGGGCAACGGTGAGGGGCACGGTCACCAGCCCCACTTTCTTGCCCGCCCACCCCCCATCCACGGCAGCATCTCAGTCTTTTACCGCCCTCCCCACCCCCTCAGGCTCTGCGAGGAACTGCTGCCCCATCAACTGGGTGGAGTACGAAGGCAGCTGCTACTGGTTCTCCGGCTCCGCCAGGCCCTGGGCTGAGGCTGACAAGTACTGCCAGCTGGAGAATGCCCGCCTGGTGGTGGTGACCTCCTGGGACAAGCAGGTGGGTCACAGTGGGTTCTTCTGGGATGCCGGATGGTGGAAGGAAGAGGCCACCGGCTCTGTTTCTTTCCTCAGAAATTTGTCCAGCACCACATGGGCCCTGTAAACACTTGGATTGGCCTAACTGACCAGAACGGGCCCTGGCGATGGGTGGATGGGACCGACTATGAGACGAGCTTCAAGTGAGTGTCCGTCTTCTGGGGCGGGGGGCACCCTTCCTTGCCAGCCTGTTCTAAGGCTGGAGCTCCTCTGGGAACATGGCTGAGAGTCTGATTTCCTGGGGCTCAAAACAGCCTTCTGTCTGTAGGAACTGGAGACCAGGGCAGCCGGATGACTGGTCTGGGCATGGGCTTGGAGGAGGTGAGGACTGTGCCCACCTCACCAACGATGGCCGCTGGAATGATGACGTTTGCAGGAGGCCCTACCGTTGGGCCTGCGAGACAGAGCTGAACAAGACCAGCTAGGAGCTCCCTCCCCTTAATTTATTTCTCCTGTGCCTCAAGCTGCTGAGGTTTGGGATTGCAAGAGCCTACCTGGGGGTCTCCACAGCCTCGGGGATTCTCATCTAGGATTTTCAGGGAAGGGTAAAGAACGGTGTTGGAGGGGTGTGGCATGATGCCTGGTGGGGTGGGGTCATGGGGACCTGGGACACTGGGCAGTGTGCAGCTTACTGTTGTTCTTGTTAGAGTAAAAAGGAGAGAACTGTGCTTAACCGCCCACGATCTGTCTGGTCATTGGGGTTGGCTAGCTTGGGGAAGGCCTCGGGCCAGCAGCGGTGCTGGGGGAACAGAACGGCTTTGGCCTGCATTGCCTGCTAGCAGTCTGGCTTTGCTATGTACAGGTATGCCTGTTTGAGGAAGTTATTCTGCCCTTAAGTCTCAGTTGGGAAACAGGACTGATTCTGGCAGGCTCTCCAGAGAACTGCAGCCCCCAGCACTGAGTGTGACAGAGACTTGGAACAAAATACACTGGCCTGCCGTGTTCATCACAAAAAAAGTCGAAGACCAAATAAGTGCAGCGAATATGCAACTCTGGGTCACACACACATGAGGGCAAAGCGTTAATATTAGTGTGATCAACAACCAAGGAGCGAGTGGGGACAATCACTTACAGACACCTTACAGACTTGGAATTATTAATAAAACTGGCAAGATGTTTGCCTGTAAGTAATGCCAAAATACAAGAAACGACTTATATACATGCACATATATGTATACACACATATATGTATATATACATAATGTATCTACATATGTCTTTATAGATGATGAAGTATGCATGTGTTCTTTTTTCATACACAATGCAGGAAAATAATATTTTTCCTCTACAGAAAAGATTGGCAAATCTCATAGCTAAAATTAGAAGCAAGCAACAGATTTGGATGAACTAGTTGCAGCATTTATAACGAGCAATTAATATCCAGACTACAAAGAACTACAAAATCGCAAGAGAAAATCTCAACTGAGAAATGTGAGAAGATGCTGTAGTAAACACTTGTCACTTCTATTTGAGGGAACTCTTCCCATGTTCACGGCGGCCAGCAGCCTGCCTGCTTCCTCCTGCCTCCCTGCCCGAGCTGTCTGCGGGCCTGTGCTAGGAAGTTGTCTTGAGCATATGATGCAAATTTGAAGTAATAGTTGCTGTATGTGGATCATGTTTAAGAACTAGAGAGATGACTAATCAGTTAAGAAAGTATTTCGCTCTTGCAGAGGTCCTAAATTGAATTCCCGGCAACCATAACAGCCTGTAACTCCAGCTCCAGGGGATCTGACACCTCTGGTTTCTGTAGGCATCCACACACACATGACATACACCCACACAGACATACACATTCACATGTTAAAAATAAAAGTTTTTTTTTTTTTTGTTTTGAGACAGGATTTCTCTATGTAGCTCTGGCTGGCTCTGTGACTCTGTAGACCAGGTTAGTTGAACTCCCAGAGATCTACCTGCCTCTGCCTTCCGAGTGCTGGGATTAAAGGTGTGTGCCACTACTACCTGACCTTTAAGAACATAAGTTCTTTTTTTTTTTAAATATTTATTTATTATGTATACAATATTCTTTCTGCGTGTATGCCTGAAGGCCAGAAGAGGGAACCAGACCTCATTACAGATGGTTGTGAGCCACCATGTGGTTGCTGGGAATTGAACTCAGGACCTTTGGAAGAGCAGGCAATGCTCTTAACCTCTGAGCCACCTCTCCAGCCCCAAGAACATAAATTCTTAAAACTCATTTTTTAAGGTTTGTTTTGCCAGGCAGCAGAGGCGCACACCTTTAATCCCAACACTCAGTTGGCAGAGGCAGACAGATCTCTGTGAGTATGAGGCCAGCCTGGTCTACAGAATGAGTGTCAGGATGTCCAGGACTATTTCACAGAGAAAACCTGTCATGAAAATCAAAAATTAAAAAAAAAACCTTATGTGAAATATGCAAACTGAAAAATAATCCCACAGTGTGAGCCCAACTACATAGCCATCAAAACAGAAAAGAAAATCTCTAAACAGCAGCAATGGAGAATCCTGGGGTAGAAATATACAGATACGTTATGATTTATCAATGGATGATCTCATTTGGTAAATTCGTTGCGAGCTGTAAGTGCATTTTGCTTGTGTGCACATGTGTCGTTATTCCTGGAGACCATAGGCTGATGTTGAGTGTCCTTCTCAATCTCTCTCTACCTTGTCATTTTTGAGGCAGGGCCCCTCACTGAATCTGGCGCTCACAGATCCGGCTAGACTGGCTGACCAGCAGTCTAGGCCGAGCAGTGTTCTAATTAACACAGCTTCTGCGCGATTATTTCAGGTCTGTGCGACCAGGAACGAACAAGAAGTCGCCGACAACACCCAGTCTCTGCCTTCCTACTGCTGGGTTTATTGTCAAATTATGTTATGCCTGGGTTATCATTATTTTTCCATGGGTGCTGGGATCAAACGCAGGTCCTAAAGCTTCTGTGGTGTGCGCTGTACTGACTCTGCCGTCTCCCCAGCTGGCGCATGCGTTAATAGTACACCCGATCTACTGGCCATCATGCGTGGTACAGAGGACATGGGTTGTCTCTTCTTTTGACAGTGTGGCTGACTGTGTGCTTTGACTCTGTCACTGCCTGGGCCGTAAGCCAAGTCGACCCTTTGTTCCTCAAGCCGCTTTTGGTCAGAATTTTATCACAGCAATAGGGAAACCAACTAGAAAAGGGACCGCATGGCATATTGCTTGCCCAGGAAAAGGTCTAAATTTAAAATCCAAAGCATGGATCTGTCACTTGCAGGCCGTGTTTCCACTGTTTGTGAGGTAGAAGAATCCTAAGCCGATCCTTTCTGCAGCTGACGCTAATGACTTTGTACTCCGCTCTGCTCCACAGAGCTCCTCATCCAGAAAGCTCTCCTGACTGCTCGAACTCTCCCCAGACGCTGTCTGCATTTTCTTCAGTACCTGAAACCAACTTTGGTTTGGGATGGAACACTGGCAAGGGTGTGGGGGGCACTGGCTTAGATTTGGGGTGAGGCAAACTGAAGAGGGTTGTAGAGCTGTGTGCGTGCTACGAACCTTTCAGCAGTGTTTAAAATAGTAAGACGCCAGAGGGCGCCAGAGGATCCAGTGATAGCTAGCTGTGTGTGTGTGTGTGTGTGTGTGTGTGTGTGTGTGTGTGTACATGTTGCCAGTGTGTGGCCCAGGAGCGTCAAGGAGAGGAAACCATATTCATCTGGGTTGTCCCTACCTCTGGTTCTCTGGGGCACAGCACAGTCATTGCTGACTGTCATCTCTGTGGTCCCTTTGTCTTGGACTCTTCCTTCCCTGGAGCATCATGGAGCTCCCTGCTCTAAGTCAGGCTGAGCTGTCTCTGCATGGCCGCTGGACGCAGGCAGGTGTGATGATTACTTGGCAAGAGGGAAACATTAAGAGTCAGAATCCAGAGGGGTCTGTCTCTGTTTGAGTGTCTCCTAAGAGTAGGGCCTGAGGGAAGGAGTTGAGGGAGGTGGTTTCTTAGGAGCTGAAGAAGCCTGTGGGCCGGGAAGGAGGACAGTGAAAGTGGCCATCACCCAGTTGCTGCCTGTGTTGGGCAACTGCACCAAACCTTGAGCACCTTCTGATCATACAGTATAACTGACCTAAGGCGGAAACGACAGGAGGATTTACTCACCAGTCCCTGCTCTCCACAGCTGCTCCTCACAGCTGCTCTCCACAGCTGCTCCTCACAGCTGCTCCCCACAGCTGCTCTCCACAGCTGCTCTCCACAGTTGCTCCTCACAGCTGCTCTCCACAGCTGCTCTCCACAGCTGCTCTCCACAGCTGCTCTCCACAGCTGCTCTCCACAGTCCAGCTGTTAGCTTGAGGTCGCTCTGCACCGTCCTTGTGCTGACTGAGCTGGCTCCACATGGCCCTGGAGAAAGTGCTGGAGCAGAATGTGGAACTCAAGCTTGCAGTGGGACATCGTCAGCACAACAAGCTGCTTAGCTTAGCTGGGGCTGTCCACCACTGGCCCTGGCAGACATCAGTGGCTCAGGCGGATGAGGGGAGGCACCAGAGGTGTCTGCTTGGTTCACATACTAAACCTCCACTAAGAGTGACAGAGATGACTAACAGCAACTCAAACAGAAGACATGGAAGAGTGACCTTAAGACATGAGCAAAACATCCCCAAATCTGCCAAAGCCTACGGAGATCATAAACATACTTGGGTATAGCAGTTGATTCTTGGGAGGAGTCCTTAAGATTGCACAGAGGTCGCTCTTCCTGCCTTTAACAGATGACGTTGAGATCATTCAAGTCAAAATCCATGAGCCATGCTTTTGTCTTTAAAAACAAATTGACAAAATGAGTCTAAATTTATCTGGAAGGATGAGCATGTTTGAACTAGGTGGCAGGAAAGTGTAAAAAAACAACAGGAAACTCATCTTTCCAGAATTTACAATCTATTGTCAAGCGATGTAATCAGAACGCACTTGGCATCTTGGCATCGGTGCAGGAACAGTGCAGGAACCGGAGGATGAGGTGGGGGATGCAGAACCGACAACAGAGCTGAAGCCAGGGAGATCGCTGCAGGGTGTGTGGTGGGGAAGAGAATTCAGTGGCAATGCCTGAGCAGGATGGCCCTCCAGGCAGGGGGCAGGCTGGCCTTCTGTCAGACTAGGGCCTGGGGCTCTGCTGGTTCCCTGTGGAGTCTCCGTGTATTCACACTGCCTTTTGTAGGTCATCTGCCTCATTTTCAAAACTTTTGTGGTGACTTAGCTTCTTTACTCTTCATATTACATCCTTATGGCACTCCCGAGCTTTAGCGCTTAGCTAGCATCTCTCCTGTTTTTCTCTTTCTGTCTCTGTCTCTTGCTCGCTCTCTTGCTCGCTCCTTCCTCACAAATGACTAAGAAGGGTCTACCTGGGTCACCTGATAGTGTAGAAATACACCGGAGCCACGGCTCTTGTCATGGTTGCCATAGCAACTGTGGGAAGAAGGACAAGAACCGTGTAGATGCTGAGAGGTGTAGGGGCTGGAGGTGAGGGTAAGCAAAGGTTAAGTATCGATTACAGCCAGAGTCCTAGACCAACCTGGAGGATAACTGAGAGCTCCCTGTCAGAGACTGAGAGACAAACTGTTGTGAGACCCAATACACCGGTCTCATCACTTTGTCTTTTTAGGATTTATCTTTTTATTGTGCATCTTTATATGGGTGTTTTGCCGGCACGTACGTCTGTGCACTGCATGTATGCAGTGCCTGCAGAGG